GATGACTTATATTTCACTCAGAAGGAAACCTGAAAGTAGGTCTTATTTTTGGAGGATGTTTTATTTTCGGGGAAACACTGTAGAAGCGGAGGAGGAAGATGGAAATGAATCATTTGGAGTCTGGGAAGGTGAGGCAGCAGGTCAAAATGGGGGAAGGTGGAGAGCATGCACTGTAGATGCCTCCTGTCCACGGATTTTGTTATGAAAACACTGAAAATGTAGTGAGAACCCCAGAGGGCTCACTGCACCAACTGCAGTCAGCCCTACCACACTTCCTACTTGTGATATAATCTGAACCAATTAGAAGCAGTGGTCTCAAAAATAAGGTCTTTATGCAACTATAGGGGAAGGGGGATAGAACTGGCATTATCAAGTACTTAGTGTGTGCCCTGAAATTTATGTATAGAATCTTCTGCTTGAAGTTACTTAGTCTATTTAAGGCCTCAATATTTTTTGTTTTGTTTTCATTGAATGTATTGGGCTGACACTGGTTAATAAAATTATATAGGTTTCCAGTGTACATTTCCATAATACATCATCTGTACATTGTATTGTGTGTTTACTACCCAAATCAAGTCTTCTTCCATCGCCATTTATCCCCCCCTCTATCCTCTTCTACCTCCCCCACACCCCTTTCCCTCAGATAATCACCATAGTGTTGACTGTGTCTGGGATTTTGGTTTTCTCTTTCCTTCTCATTGTAGAATTTCCAGTCAGTCGACTTTCCTGTAGTTCTGGGTAATGTCCATTTTATATTTTAGTTGTATTTTATTGAATTTGTTGTGTACGGCTGTGGTTAGGTGTTTATCTGTGCAGCCATTTTGGATTCTCTCCGGGAGCTGCTTCTTAATCCTAGCAATATCTTCCCAGAGCACCCATGGGAATCCTCTCCCTTTGACCATGGCTGAAATATGCACACTCATCTCCAGTCAATTTTACTTCATTTTAATGTAAAGAATAAAAGGGGCCCATCTACATCATTCCTGAGGCTTCTATACAGAAAACCAGAAGGAAAATCAGAGGAGCTGTAAAAGCCTAAGGTACAGACACACGCTGCATGTGCGCGGAGAGGACAGAGCCAGAGAGGAAGGGAGGCTGGGTGCCTGGCTGGTGTTCCCTAGCGGGAAGGAGATAAAACTCTGGATTGTGCTGAACCCCAGAACCGATAGCGCTGAACCCCAGTTCTAGGCCAGACCCTGGGGACCCAGGCTCATACAGAGGGAGTTGGGCTGTAAGGCGCAAACCCGGGGGAGCGGCGAAAGAAGGTCCCGGAGGTACGCACATTGCACGCAGAGAAGGGACAGTTGGCTGTGCCGCGGGATTACCCTTGTGGGAAGGAGACAAAAGCTTCAGACTGCTCTGAACCCCACTTCCAACCCCACTTCCAACTGAACTGAACCCCAGTTCTGGGCTCATTGGGGTAGAGACTAGATTGTTTGGTAGCAGGTGAAACTCAAGGGCACCTCACTCTCAGAGGTGCTTGCAGTGACTACCAAAGGGCCCTGATGAACACTGAGACTCAGGAGCCAAGGCTGTAGGATCCACCCTGAAACTCTGCCCCATCCAAGCTGAACACAGAGACTTTTAAGGCTACCAACTCAGGAAAGCTGCAAAAATGCTGAGACAAGGAAATAGATCACAAACCAAAGAAATGGAGGACAAAAAGAGACTGGATATAGAGTTCAAAACCACGCTTATAAGGTTTTTCAAGAATTTCCTAGAGAAGGCCGATAAAATAAAGAGACCTATGAGGATATGAAAAGGGATCAACTAGAAATAATAAGAAATCAATAAGAAATAATAAGGGATCAACAAGAAATAAAGAATACAATGTCTTTGCCGAAACTGGTTTGGCTCAATGAATAGAGCATCAGACTGCGGACTGAAAGGTCCCGGGTTCGATTCCGGTCAAAGGCATGTACCTTGGTTTCAAGCACATCCCCATAGCAGGTGTGCAAGAGGCAGCTGATCGATGATTCTCTCTCATCGATGTTTCTAACTCTCTATCCCTCTCTCTTCCTCTCTGTAAAAAATAAATAAAATATATTAAAAAAAAAGAATACATTGTCTGAAATAAAAAATATTATACAGAGTCCTAAAAACAGAATGGAAGATCGCAAGAATCAAGTCAAAGATTTGAAACATAAAGAGCCAGAAGACACTCCTTTGCAGAAGCAAGAAGGCAAGAGAATCCAGAAAGTTGAAGATAATGTAAGAAAACTCTGGGACAACTTCAAGCTAACCATCAGAATTATGGGGGTCCCAGAAGATGAGAGAGAGCAAGATATCGAAAACATACTGAAAGAAATAGTGACAGAAAACTTACCCCACCCTGGTGAAAGAATTAGACTTACAAGTCCAGGAAGCGCACAGCACTCCAAACAAAAGGAATCCAAAGAAGAGCACACCAAGACAAAATATAATTAAAATTCCAAGACCAAAAGACAATAAGAGAATATTAAAAGCAGCAAGAGAAAAGCAGGTAGTTAGCTATAAAGGAGCACCTACACGATTGTCTGCTGATTTCTCAACAGAAACCATGCAAGCCAGACAGGAATGGCAAGAAATATTCAAAGTGATGAATAGCAAGAACCTACAGCCAAAAATACTCTACCCCACAAAGCTATCACTCAGAATTGAAGGCCAGATAAAGAGCTTCACAAATAAAAAAAAGCTAAAGGAATTCATCACCACCAAACCAGAATTATATGAATTGCTGAAGGGGGTTTTTTAGGAAGAGTTAGAAAATAAAGATAAAAATTATGAACAACAAATATGTAACTATCAACAAGTGAATCTAAAAACCAAGGAAATTAAAAAAAATCTGATGAACAATATTAACTGTTAAATATAATAGAATCAGAGGTTTAGAAGGGGAGTGAACTGACTGTTCTCAGGGAAAAGGGGTGAGGGGGGTGTGGGAAGAGACTGAACATAAACTGTGCACCTATGGATGAGGACAGTGGGGGGTGGGGAAAGGGCAGAGGGTGAGGTGGGAACCTGGTGGAGGAGAGCAATAGAGGGGGGTGGGAAAGAGGAATTTTTGTAATAATATGAATAAAGATTTATTAAAAAAATAAATAAAATAAAATAAATAAAAGAAATGAGGAAGAAAAAAAAAGCTTTTTTTACAGCAAAAGAAACCATAAAAAGAAAGAAAGAAAGAAAGAAAGAAAAGAAAGAAAGAAAGAAAGAAAGAAAGAAAGAAAGAAAGAAAGAAAGAAGCAACTCCCTTATGTAAGGGAATAGCGAGGCCACAAAAAAGTCCAGATTGACTTGGCGAAAGTTAAAGAATTCGGCTAGCTAGTTAGTTGCATGGCATGGACTAGATCTTAGATCTTCAAAATTTCCTCTGGGCTCATGACTGACATATTCAAGGGTATCCTGGCAAATCTGCTAGCTAGCAAAACCAAAACCAAAAAACCCTCATTGTTCGCTAGTTTCTGTGGTTTAAATACTTCCACCGTGGCCGATTTCAAGCCACTGATGTGATATCACAGAAGCCGATGGGGTCAATCTCAAGTTGCTCTGGGAATGTGCTTAATTGGCTCTCGGCCCCCCCCCCCCCCCCCCCCCGCCATACACACACACACACACACACACACACACACACACACACACACACCGGGTCAGGGAAAATGTTTGTTCTTTTAAAATTTAGTGTTCTGATTACCAAAGAAATTTTATATTTACAATATTATTGAAATTTTATAAAATATAGGATAAGTTAAAAAAATCACTTATGTTTCCACATCTAGAATTAATCATTTTGGCTCCTTTCATATGTAAGTCCAAAAATATCTCCTTTGGTTTTTTTCTATGCTTTGATAGGTCCATTAAAAAAAGAGAATTATACTATATATATCATTTCTTCTTCTTTTAAAAAAAATATATTTTATTGATTTTTTGCAGAGAGGAAGAGAGAGGGATAGAGAGTTAGAAACATCGATGAGAGAGAGACATCGATCAGCTGCCAATGTACATGCCTTTGACGGGAATCGAACCCAGGACCTTTCAGTCCACAGACCGACGCTCTATCCATTGAGCCAAACTGGTTTCGGCTCATTTCTTCTTTTTTTACCTAATATAAGCACTTTACTAAAGGGAGAGGTTTCTTTATTTAAAGAATAGTTTATTGACTTTTAGAGAGAGAACATTCATCAGCTGCCTCCTGCAAACCCCCTGCTAGGGACAGAGCCCACAGCCCGGGTGCGTGCCAGACCTGGAATCAAACCAGCACCCTTCTGGTGCACAACCGAGCCCCACTGGCCAGGGAGGAGCGGTCTTTGTGAAAGTCAATATAATCCTCACTTTCTCACCTTCCTCTGCACTTTGGAGAAAAGTCTGTGGTAATTCGGTCCCCTGCTGGCGGGATAAAAGCAACCATCATAGTTTGCATCATGCCCACCCTGAGCGAGGCTTGGACACCCCCGGTCAGACCCTGCTGAGTTCTCAGGCCGACTTTGCTGCTACTATTGCCTTCCTTCTGGCTCCTCCCTCTTCCAGGCAGCAAGGAGGTGATGAGGATGCTGATCTCACGGAGCCTGCTCCAGCAGTAGCCCAGATGTGCTCTGCCCCGATGTGGATTGTGCACTTGAATTAGGGTGGAGTGACCCGCTCTACACTGGCCCGCTCTGGACGGTTCTGTTACAAATGAGTCAGAATAAGGTCATAGGACCGAGGCCTCCTAGGAGGACCTCCCTCGGTGTCGGCAGCAGGTACGGCGTCGTCGGAGGTCTGGAGGAGCGGCCTTGGTGGGGTGTCCTGAGGACACTGCTGTGTTTCCTGAAGCTCGAGGTGACTGATGACAGGTCAGCGACTGTGGTACTCTCTGCATCCGCATCGTCTGGGTCTGCCTGCGTGTGCTGGTTCACGGGATCCTCCTCCCGGAAGCTGGGTGCTCCATGCAGGGTATTTCTACTTACAAAGCAAAGGTGTGGAAAGGGGAAGTGGAGGAAAGCGACCTGTCGTTTTCCGTCCCCTGCACCTCAGCTGGAGATGCAGGTTCCTGTGGGCACACTTCCTCCATAGCACACTTCTGAAGTAAACGGGCCTTAGGGGAACTTGGCCCTGACTATGACTTAAGGTAGGGGTGTCGAACTCAATCAAAGAAGGGGCCAAAATCTAAAATCCAGCCTAAATCGTGGGCCGAATGGTTTACTGAACAGTCATAAACTGTCATTGTGATGGAAACGCAGCGGAGTGCAGTGATGACAGCGAGGTGCGGGCCACATTGCAAGGCCTGGCTGGACGGATTTGGCCCGTGGGCCTTGTGTTTGACACATGTGACTTAAGGTGTCTGGACGTCTGGACCACCTGAATCAAGGCCTGAGGTGACCTGGACCTTTGAAGATTTGTTTTCTTTTTTAGAAGCATCTAGGAATAGTGTTCAAAGTTTCTAGAACCCTTTCTAGGAAGTACTTGGGATATATATTTTTCTATTTACATTTTTTTGTTTTATGAAGCTATTACTCTTTTTAAAGGTCTTTGATTGATAAATAAAATTTATCCCTTTCTGTACCATCTCAAACTCCACTGAAGTTGGTTTTTATTCTTTCTCTCAGCCTTTACAACTATTTTTTTTTAAATGTATTAAACACAACTAGATTTTGGAATAAAAAAACAAAACAAAACAAAACAAAACAAAACCAACAACAACAAAAAAAAACTCTAGACCTAATTGGTTTTTTAAAAAATAGTTCCCTGGAACCGGCTGGTGTGGCTCAGTTGGTTGGAGTGTCGTTTCATACATCAAAGGTTGCAGGTTCGACTCCCGGTCGGGACACATACCCATGTTGTAGGCTCGATCCCTGGTTAGAAGCCAATCAATTGATGTTTCTCATTATTGTTTCTCCCTCTCTAAAAGCCAATAAAAGCATGTCCTTGGGTGAGGATTTTTAAGTTTCCTTAAATTACTTAGTTTTACTAACTTAGCATTGTTTATGATTTATGAAAGTAGATTTAAAGTAATATTCAAAGATGGAGACTTTACTGAGACCCTTGTTATAAATGTTCATTCTATTATTCTATCCCCTCATCTCTACAAAAAAAAAAAATACCCGAAATATTTTGTTAACTATAAGTCAGGGTTTAGAGAGACCAAAATATACATCTTTAGCTATGACAAATACGTTGTTTTGATTGCATATTCTCTGTAAGGACCTGTGCTGGGCACTGCAGAGGGTATGGTGTGCTGCAAACTTTAAATTCAAAGGCCTCATTTAGCAGCTGTAGTACCAGGTAATGGTAGGCCTACAGAGGAGTGTGAGCTGGAAAGTGATTACATAGGATGAGATACATGGAGATGGTAGAAATCCGATGTAAGCTTTCATGAAAAGAGAACCAAGAAAGTTGGTTTCAGACCGGAAAGGAACAGGAAAAGGAAAGGATTTATGTAGGCGCTGTTGACAGTTATGCTTTGGAGTTGACGAAGGAAAGAAAGAAAATGCAAGTAGATTCTGCAGGGAGAGTCAGCCTGGAGCCGGTGCATGCTCTCGGGTGCTGCTCGAAGTGGGGTGTCTGCTCCATTCTAAGCCATGAAAGAACATTCCATCCAGGTCCATTCTTTCCCTTCCTACCCACAGCTTGTCACAGGTCACCAGGCTTCCAGGATTTGATTTCTGGTGGGTAGGACTTGTCCATGGGGTCTCCCACTCTGCTCTCTGACCTATGAATCCCTCTTCCTGCCGGCGGGAATTGATGAAGTGGGGACACAAGGGCCATGCTGCTCCATCTCTTGGTCAGAAGGCTGTGGCAGTGAGCCTTGGGCTGCCCACACTCACCTGGCGAGCATCAGCCACGCACTGCTTGATCATAGCTCCCAGGATAACACGTCTGTACGAGTGCCGAAGGGAAAACAAATCTTGGGGAAGAAGGATGTATATGGAAATGTTAAGTAAATCAAAAAAGGATGGGCACAGGGAATTGTACAGCGAAGCTAATGAAAATAGGATAATAGGGAAAAGAAATGGCAAAGCCAAAGTTAATATTTTTATAAAACATGTAATGGACATTTTTGGGCAATATATGAAAAGATATATGAAAGACAAAGTTTATTATAAATGAAAGGAATATATAATTATAGGACAGCAGAGATAAAATGCAATACATCAGGAACAAATTCAAAATATGTAGAAATGGAAGAAAAAATTCAAAATGTGTAGAAATTGAAGAAAAAATTCAAAATATAAAGAAATTGAAGAAAAAGTTCATAATATGTAGACACTGAAAAAATTAAAAATATGTAGAAGTTGAAGAACAATTCAAAATATTCAGGAATTGAAGAAAAAATTCAAAATATGGAGAAATTGAAGAAAAAAATTCATAATATGTAGAAATTGAAGAAAAAATTCAAAATATGTAGAAACTAAAGAAAAAACATAGAATAAATATAACATTCTTGAATCGTCATATGAAGACTTGACGCCCTCCGACTGGCAGGCAGCTGAGCAGCGTGGCTCGGGCTCTCCGCATTCCTGGAGCAGCACCAGCAGCTCCCGCAGGCTCAGGGCGGCAGCAGCACCTGCCTCAGAGGGGTCCCCAAGGAGGGCGGTCACAGGAGGGGTCCCCAAGGACCCAAGGAGGGCGGTCACAGCAGCACAGAGGACAGGAAGAAGCTTGCCCGGGAAATGGCAACTGCTGAAGGCGGTGTCCCTGACCCAGGATGGGCTACTAGAGGCGGGTTTTGCTGCTGGCCTCTGGCTGCCCAGGGTGGTGTCCAGGGCACAAACTGGTCTTCTGGAGGAGGGTTTTGCAGCTGGCTGTGGGCTGCCCATGGTGGGATACTGGGCCCCGGATGGGCTGCTGGAGGCAGGTTTTACTGCTGTTGACCTACTGCCCATGGTGTCCGGGACCGGGGTGGGCTGCTGGAGGCGGGTATTACTGATGGCGGAGTGCTGCCTATGGTGGTGACCCGGGACCGGGACGGGCTGCTGGAGACGGGATTTGATGCTGGCAGTATGCTGCCTATTGTGGTGTCCAGGGCCCGGGATGGACTGCTGGAGGTGGGTTTTACTGCTGTTGACGTGCTGCCGATAGTGGTGTCCCAGTTCCGGGATGGGCTGTGGCAGGTGGGTTTTAATGCTGGCAGTGTACTGCCATGATGGTGTCCCAGGCTCGGGATGGGCTGCTGGAAGTGGGTTTTATGAGACTGAGGAGCTACCTACTGTGCTAACGAGGCACCTGGAGGTGGGTTTTATGCTGGAGGTGTGCTGCCAATGGTGGTGTCCCGAGCCAGAGATGGGCTGCTGGAGGCGGGTATTACTGATGGCGGTGTGCTGCTCATGGTGGTGTCCCTGGCCCGAGATGGGCTGCACGAGGCAGGAATTACTGATGGCAGTGTGCTGCCCATGATAGTGTCACGGGCCCGAGAGGGGCGTCTGGAGGAGAGTATTACTGATGGCGGTGTGCTGGCCATGGTGGTGTCCTGGGCCCGAGATGGGCTGCTGCAGGCAGGAATTACTGATTCCGGTGTGCTGGCCATGGTAGTGTCCTGGGCCCAAGATGGGCATCTGGAGGCGGGTATTACTGATGCCGGCTTGCTGGCCATGGTGGTGTCCCGGGCCCGAGATGGGTTGCCTGTCCCGGGCCCGGGAAAGGCTATTGGAGGCGGGTATTATTGATGACTGCGTGCTGCCCATGATGGTGTCCTGGGCCCGAGATGGGCTGCTGGAGGCCCGTTTTAATGCTGGCGGCGGGCTGACCATGGTGGTTTGCGGGCACAAGATGGGCTGCTTGAGGGTGATATTAATGATTGCGGTGTGCTGCCCATGGTGGTGTCCTGGTCCCCTGATGGGCTGTTACAGGCAGATTTTACTGCTACCTGCGTGCTACCCATGGTGGTGTCCTGGGCCAGAGATGGGCTGCTGGAGGCGGGTATTACTGATGGCGCTGTGCTGCCCATGGTGGTGTTCCGGGCCCGGGAAGGGCTGTTTGAAGCGGGTATTACTGATGGTGGTGTGCTGTTCATGGTGGTGTCCCTGGCCTGAGGTTGGCTGTAGGAGGCAGGAATTACTGATGGCAACGTGCTGCCCATGATGGTGTCCTGGGCCCGAGATGGGCTGCTGGAGGCTCGTTTTAATGCTGGCGGCGGGCTGACCAAGATGGTGTCCTGGCCTGAGATGGGCTGCTGGAGGCGGGTATTAATGATTGTGGTGTGCTGCTCATGGTGGTAAACCTGGCCCGAGATGAGCTGCTGGAGGCAGGAATAACTGATGGCAGCGTGCTGCTCATGCTACTGTCATGGGCCTGAGATAGGCGTCTGGAGGCGAGTATTACTGATAGTGGCGTGCTGCCCAAGGTGGTGTCCTGGGCCCAGGAAGGGCAGTTGGAGGTGGGTATTAATGCTGGCCGCTAGCTGCCCAAGGTGGTATCCCGACCGCAAGATGGGCTGATGGAGGCGGGTTACTGATGACGGTGTGTTGCCCATGGTAGTGTCTCTGGCCCGAGATGGGCTGCTGGAGGCGGGTATTACTGATGGCGGCGTGCTGCCCATGGTGGTATTCGGTGCCCGAGATGGGCTGCTGGAGGTGGGTTTTAATGCTGGCGGCGGGTTGAACTTGGTGGTTTCCGGGCCCAAGATGGGCTGCTGGAGGCGGGTATTAATGATTGCGGTGTGCTGCCTATGGTGGTGTCCGGGGCCCGTGATGGGCTGTTAGAGGCAGATTTTACTGCTAGCTGTGTGCTGCCCAAGGTGGTGTCCCAGTCCTGAGATGGCTTGCTGGAGGCAGGAATTAATGATGGCGGCGTGCTGCCCATTATGGTGTCTTGGGCCTGAGATGGGCTGCTAGAGGCGGGTATTACTGATGGCGGCGTGCTGTTCATGGTGGTATTCCAAGCTCGAGATGGACTGCTGGAGGCGTGTTTTAATGCTGGCGGCGGGCTGACCATGATGGTTTCCGGACCCAAGATGGGCTGCTGGAGGCGGGTATTAATGATAGCGGTGTGCTTCCCATGGTGGTGTCCGGGGCCCGAGATGGGCTGCTGGAGGCAGGTTTTAATGCTGGCGGTGTGCTGCCTATGGTGGTGTTCCGGGCCGGAGATGGGCTGCTGGAGGCGGGTTTTAGTGCTGGCGGCGGGCTTACCTTGGTGGTTTCATGGCCCAAGATGGGCTGCTGGAGGGTGGTATTAATGATTGCGGAGTGCTGCCCATAGTGGTGTCCGGGGCCCCTGATGGGCTATTACAGGCAGATTTTACTGCTACCTGCGTGCTACCCATGGTAGTGTCCTGGGCCAGAGATGGGCTGCTGGAGGCGGGTATTAGTGATGGCGGCGTGCTGCCCAAGGTGGTGTCCTGGGCCCCTGGAAGGGCAGTTGGAGGTGGGTATTAATGCTGGCGGCGAGCAGCCCATGGTGGAGTCCCGGCCGCAAGATGGGCTGATGGAGGCGGGTATTACTGATGACGGTGTGCTGCCCATGGTGGTGTCCCTGGCCATAGATGGGCTGCTGGAGGCGGGTATTACTGATGGCGGCGTGCTGCCCACGGTGGAATTCCGGGCCCGAGATGGGCTGCTGTAGGCGGGTTT